CAGGTCATGATCCCAGGGGCCTGGGATGGAGCCCCGCGTCGGGGGCGGGGGGGGGGGGGTCCCTGCTCAGCGGGGAGCCTGCTTCTCCCTCTGCGTTCTCCCCTTCCCCCCCACCTCTGCTCATTCTCTCTCTCTTTCTCTTGCTCTCAAATAAATAATTTTTAAAAAATGTAGCATAGACACACAATGAATATTATTCAGCCTTAAAAAGAAGGAAGTCCTGTTATATGCTATGTCATAGGTAAACCTGGAGGACAGCTTGCTAAAAAATAAACCAGTCATAGAAGGAGAAATAATGCATGATTCCACTTCTACGACGTATCTAAAATCATCAGACTCACAGAAGTAGAAAGTGCAATGGTCATCACCAGGGTCTGTGAGGAGGGAGAAATGAGTTGCTCTTCAATGAGTATGAAGTTTCTGTCACGCAAGATGAAAAAGTTCACGGAGACCTGCTGGACAAGCCGTGTGTAGAGTTAACAATACCCTACAGTACTCTAAATTTGTCCAGGGCAGCTCTCATGTTATGCATTTTTTACCACAATAAAAAAAAGTGAATGCACCTCACAAAAGCAATCAAAGAAATGCAAATAAAAAATTATCACCTGTCACATTAGCAAGGGTTTAAAATGCTGATGAGAGTTCCCTGAGGCAGGCTCTCTCATTTACTGCTAGTTACAGTGTAAATTGGCAGGCATACCATTTTGAAAAACACTTTGGAAATATTCATCAAAGGTCTTAAAAGTGTTTATACCCGTTGATGTAATAATTTTACTTGTAGGAATCTCTTCTCATGCAGTAATAACAAATGTAAATATGTTTATTATTTATAGGACCAAAAATTAGAAATCTTCCCAACGTTCCATGAGAGAGGAATGGTTAATAGATGTTGACATATAGGATGAAACAACAAAAATGTTTATGAAGTTTATTGACAAGAGAAAACTCACAATATAATATTAATACATTATTAATATAATTATATATTATATAATATAAATATCATTAATATTATATATTATTAATATAATAAAAGGGGGGATAACAAACTGTGTAAAGGGTGATTACACATTATATTATTACTACTATGTCAAAAAATTAAAAATAAAAGTGATGGAAATCGACAAAAAGTTATATAGGGTTATTTCTAGGTAATGAGACCTATGGATGACTTAAGATTGTAAGATATATTTAACATACAATATTATATATTTAATTTATTATATAAATACATTACGTTAAATATATATTTTATATGTATCTTAATATATATTTATATATATAATTTTAAAATGGAATGTGATCTAAGGTTTCATGAGAAAGAAAAGACCAGTTTTTCCAAACATATATTTTTTAAAGTATCATCTTAATCTTTAAGTCTTTGCAAACATAAACATGTAAGGTAGAATGTAGAATGACCAAAAATTAGATTCTTCAAATACCGGAAGGTATTTGTTTGGCTTTATTCAAGATATGGTTAAGACAAGCAAACTTCTTCACTGAGTGTTTTCATTCTAGCTTAAAAAGAGGTAGGTAACAGGGAGAAATCAAGAGAAAGCCTTATATTATTTATTTGTGTAGTAAACATATGGCCTTTGGTAGTCCAAGAAATAGCATGAACTCCTTCTGGGAAGCTGTGGGTGGGTCATCCTCTCCTGGAGAGTGGTTTAGGAGAGATGCAAATGGGATGGTAAGCAGGGAGGGAATGGGCGGGTCTGCCCTGGCAGCTAGGTCAGTCAAACCCACCGTGGGTTGGCAGATGGCACAGCCAGATTGTCCCACCAGCCTGAAGCTACTAACTAAAACAATTACGTTCAAGAAGAGATAAATTCATGCTACAATCAGATTCCTAATATTAGCTAGGGATCGTAGGGGTTGATATGCTAATTGGCTTAAGTTGTGAGCAGAAAACTCAAAAAGGATGGGCAGAGAAAGGTGCAAGCTGCTTCTAAAGGGATGTAAGTCACCGACTCTCTGAAAAAGTTAAAATTTATGCCCCACCACTCTGCTCTCCTCCCAGCCCTGCCATTTGATGCCACTTAAAAGTGTTCTTTTACTGGGGTGCCTGGGTGGCTCAGGTGGTTAAGCATCCGCCTTTGGCTCAGGTCATGATCTCATGATCTCAGGGTCCTGGGATGGAGCCCTGCATCGGGCTCCCTGCTCAGCAAGAAGCCTGCTTCTCCCTCGCCCTCTGCTTGTGCTCTCTCGCTCTCTCTGTCAAATAAATAAAGAAAATCTTTTTTTTTTTTTAAGTGTTCTTGGGGCACCTGGGTGGCTCAGTCGTTAAGCGTCTGCCTTCGGCTCAGGTCATGATCCCAGGGTCCTGGGATCGAGCCCCGCATCGGGCTCCCTACTCGGCGGGGAGCCTGCTTCTCCCTCTCCCACTCCCCCTGCTTGTGTTCCCTCTCTCACTGTGTCTCTCTCTGTCAAATAAATAAAATCTTCAAAAAATAAAAAAAGTGTTCTTTTACTTATACTGTGTTTCCTTGAAATCAGAGAAGGCAAAGTTGGGGACCTTGAGCCCAATGTAGAAAATAGAAACAGTTTTAGTGGGCCCGTGCTGTATTAAAAAAAGACAAACTTGAACGAGTTGTTTCACAGTTCAAAATTGGGAGATTTGGCATAAAATTCAGGATTTGGGCTTTTAAAAAAGTTAAAATTAGTAGTGAGCTGTTATCATCACATGACAACAATTTGCTGGAGATGAGTGACTGATGCTCACGTTAGAAGGCACTAGCTCACCAATTTTCCACAGTCCTCAGTCAGCCCATATGCTCATTTGAATTTCCATTCCTAGTCGCTGTGTACATTCCCCAGGCTTTCGGGTGTCAGAGTGATTTACAAAACTGGTCTGCCAGCCTGAGCTGCCTACAGTAAAAGTCTCCACCGATCAAACAAAAACAAAACAGAAAAACCAAAAAACCCCACCTCATTCAAAGCAACACTTCCTAAATTCTGTTAAGGACAGACCTGATTCAGAACCATAAACATGCTCAAAGACATGCTGGGAGAACAGAAAGAGTGCTGTGCCTCTGAAAGTCAGGGGCGCCATGGGCAGACAGCTAGAATGGAGAACCTGCAAAGACGGGGACGTCCTATGGGAAACTCTTAGCCTAGGGTTTGGAATACTTAGTTGGAGGTTAATAAATATTTGTTTCTATCTTCCTAAGAGCAGATGCAGAGCACAGCAAGGAGGAAATGGAGCCAGAATAGTGTAATGCAATGCACAAAAGCACAGCATGCCAAGAGAGAAAGAGGGAGGAGGTAATTGTAGCCTGGAGAGCAGTAGCAACAACAGAACAAGCCTGGAGAAGTTAGAATGACAGAGCCAAGTACTATAATAACAGGGGACTGCATAACCACGGCATGATTCTGATAGATCTTTTGCTAGTCACACATCTATATGGTAAGTGGAAGCACAGACTACATAGATGAAGGTAGCATTAATCAAACAGAAAATCCAGATGGAAATTCACATCAAAACCCTAGTGATGAGAAAACATTCAACCCATTAGTGAAGGCTTGTGGGTTAAAACTACAACAGCATATACATTAAAAAATACAGAGAATATATAAAACATGCAAAGTAGCTGGATTCAGTTGAAGTATAGAATTTCTATACTTACCTGAAACAAGTTAATTGTTTAATTTTGTGTGTGTGTTTGTCTTACCAACGGTGTGGCTATAGCTACTTTGAAATAATTTATTTCTAAAGCCTCAATTTAAAAAATCAGTTAATAACGGAAGTAAAACTTTCTGAAGCATCATGTCACTATAGTAATAACCTGTCAGAGAATGTTATGCAAAGGTGTTGGACAGCAGGATGGAAGGTTACAGATGTAATTTTTTTTTCTAGCGCTTTCCTTAGGGTCATGGCTAATCAGTCATTGTTTACACATAAGGTAGCTTTTGCAGTATTTATTTCTCTAAATATTTAACAGTCTTGGGAGGCAGTGACTAGCAATAATATGGAGTTTCTAGCATGTTACGAGTGCTTAATAAATGGTAAAACGAAATCCTGCATGATGAAAAACAGCAGTCAGTAAACTATTATACTCTAAACCATTTTAAAGCCATAGTAGTATTTAGAAAAGCATTATAAGCAAACACAGTGCGTTGACTAAATTATGGTAATAAAGGAACACTTATATTCACTAAAAAGTTCACCCAAGTAATTTCTTCTTAAATTTCTTAGGGGAGCGAGAGAAGGTATGGGAAAAATGGATGGAGTATGGATTAAAACAACAACTTTTTTTTTTTTTAACCATGTGGAACCCTGCTGACCACACATTGGGTAGTTATATCCTATACACTGGCGGAGTGCTCCAAATGCCTTCAAAATTCAAAACTCCCTCTAATTCAGCACCAGTGAGCAAAACCCTGCAAATTTCTAAATGTCTTCAAGCTCTGAAAGACTTGGTTTTGGAAGAGGAGGTACCCAGGTGCGTGAGTGCAGCTCCAGATGTATGCCGCTCTACAGTGACACCGGGAAAGCAAATGCTCTCTAACCCCGAGAGGAAGTTCTTCTTTTACATCTAACGGAACGGGGGACTGCTAGGCTAGACTTGGGAACCTTGACTGTTGCGTTTCCGGGATCCAGTGCAGCCTTCAGCTGCTAGAGAACTGGGCTGCAAGAGCTGAGAACCCCGTGCCTTAAGTTTGGGGAAGGAAGCGAGAGGAAAAAAAAAAATAGAACTGCTCCTTTAAGAACTTCCTTTCCCTTTTACTCTATGTTTACATAACACGGGGGCCGTTCCACCGCGGGGCCCAAGGGGGGCGGGGAGGGGGCGCGGGCGGCCCCACGCGCCAGGGGGAGGGGGCGCCGGGCGGGCGGGGGCCTGCGGGGCTTTGGGCGGAGGGCCGGCGGGCTCCCACCTGCCCGCGCGCCAGAGGGGCGGCTCCGCGGTCCTGCCCCCGCCCCTCCCCCGCTCGCTGCCCCCGCCCCTCCCGCGCTGGCTTTCTCCCTCCCTCCTTCCCTCCGCGAGGTTCCAGCGGCAGCGGTAGCAGCGGCGGCGCTCGGCGCGGGCAGGTCTGCCTGCTGCCCGGTCCCATTTGTTGCCGAGTCCGGCTCGGAGCGGCAGCGGCGCGCGGAGCTCCCGGGAGCCCGGCGGGGCAGCCGCACAGCCACGACGGAGCAGCCGCGGGACTGGCCGCCCCGCGCCCCCTTCGCCGCCGTGCCCTTCCCCGGCGCGCTCACCCCCTTCTCAGGATGGGATTGTAGCGGCGGCGCGGACTCAGCGGGGATCGCGGCGGAGGAGGCGGCGGCGGCGGCCGATCGGGGCTCCATGTTTTCCCCCGGCCAGGAGGAGCACTGCACCCCCAATAAGGAGCCAGTGAAATACGGGGAGCTGGTGGTACTGGGGTGAGTCCCGAGATCTCCGACCCCGGGAGCTTGACGGCGGGCGGCTAGTGCTCCGGGCTGGGTGGCCGCAGGGCGCCCGCATCCCCGAGCGGGGCCGGCGGGGTGTCTCGGACGCTCTCAAGGGAACGCTGGGGCGCCTAGGGCGGCGGGGGCGGCTCGGGGGCCGGGGCGGCAAGCGCCCGGGGAGCGGTGCCCCCTGTCAGCGCGCGCGGGGCGCTGCAGAGACCGCCGAGATGCGCTCTCCCCGCGGAGGACCGCGGCCGAGGAAGTGGCGGAGTGGGGCCGGCCCCGGAGAGGCAGAGACTGTGGCGACCCCGCGCCCCGCGGGGAGCCGCGCTGGGGGACCGAGTCCTCGTCCATACCGGGAGGGAGGGGAGTGGACCCTTGCTCGACTTCCTCGCGCGCCCTGGGTCAGGGAGGGCGGGTAAGGGCCGGGGCCGAGGCGCCACCGTCGTAGGCACCTCGCGGTGTCGGGGGAGACTCCCCAGTTGGCGAAGCTGAAAGGCCGGTGGGGTCCACGGTCCCCGGGGACCCTCTGCCGGGTGGACTGTGATCCCGGCTCCCGGAACTCCGAGCGCGGCGCTGCGGGCTTGGCCGCCGCGGGCAGTGGGATCTGCGCGGTGGGCGTCCACGGGCAGCGCTTTGCATATTGTTATGGTGACCGCCGCGGGTAGCCGCAGCCCGGGGGCAGTGAACTGTCTGTGACCCGGGCGGGCAGGCCGGCCCTCGGCTCCCCCAGGCGGGAGTGTCCTGGAGGGGGCAGGGACACGGCTGCCCCTACCCGGGCTCCCGGGGCGCGCGGGGCCGCATCCCTACCGTCCCGGGCCGCGGCCTCGCTGCTGTCCTCCGGGCAGCGGGGAGCTCGGCCGCCTCGGCTCCCTCCCCGCTTGTGAAAACCACATTTTGAAGATAGTAATTATCTACAATCGTTAAACAGCAGCAATTAGAGACTTCATCTACTTCCTGAGTTTCCCTGTGACATTTCTATTGTTTACCCTTAATAAGCCGGGACAGAGGCTTCGCAGGATTAAAGCAGGATAAAGTGGGCAGTGAAAGGGGAGCAGAATGGGGAGGAGGGAAATGCAGGAAACTCGGGAGAGGGAGCAACTTGGATTTAGTATCTGGAGAAGAAAGGATTATTTTCTCCTTCGGATGTGTCACTCCTGGGAACCCGTGCTTTTGTCCTCTGTTGAAAGACCTGTATTCTGACCGTCATCGGTGCTGATAGGTAGGCTTAGCCCACAAATGAGGAGCCATGGGTAGGGAGCAACTTAGGGAACTCTGAAAAACGTGTTTTGATAACTGAATACGTTGAAGTAAGTGCCGACTTAAAAATAATTTTAAAAGAGAAGAATTTTTAAGGGAAGCTTCCCCAGTACAGCTGGAATTTGTCTAGTCCTCCTCACGTTGTTGCTGCAGTACTAAGTGGAGCATTATTGGAAATCTCATTACCTATTTTGAAGTTTGCAGATAAGCGGTTTTTCCCACTTGCATCTTAAATGCGCCGAAAAGACAGATGTCCGGGTTCAGTGGCAGGAGAGTGGAATGACAGGGAAAAGCCCGAGGTTAGCTTGTCTTACATAACCTCAGCCCAACCTAATTTTGTGGAGTTTGGTTTTGTGTGTCTGGCTTCAAAGTATGTTTAGCGTACTTTGTGAACCTGACACGAAGGATTAACTTACACCAGAGCTTTATTTAATTATTTCCTTTTGAGGAAATCATTGTTGAGATGTTTCAGAAAAGCAGTGTCCGAGTGGGCCTTGGAGAGGTTTTGTTTTTATAGCTGCAAGTGCAGGGCGTTCCAGAGTGGTGGAAAGGATTCAGACCCAGGATTGCCCTAGCATCATAGGCTTACTCTAAAGTAGGCTATGTAAATGCATTGCCCACTGCGTGTGCTTTGTCCTGGACTGATGTTTTTCCGGGAGACAGTAAGTATGACATAGTTGGCACTTTACTATTTGGGGCCAGACACGAAGCAGTTATTTGAGTACCTGATATGGGCCAGCACTGCTTAGGCATTGAGGATCCAGCAGTGAGTGAGGAGCTTTCCATTTAGCGTGGAGTGGCTGTCACCAGCAGACAGAAACATGTAAACAAATGAATAATACATGGCCGTATGTCAGGTGTTGCCAGGCTCTCAACGGAAGGTGGTTAACTTAGGGAATGTCTGCGCTAGGTAGGTATTGCTTTCTTTAGCTAGGCGGTCAAGGCAGGTCTCTCTGAGGAAGTGAAATGTGAGTTGACATCAGACTGCTGAGAAGATACTGGTCAGGTTATTGAACAGTTGAGAAGAATTGTGGTTTGTTTTTTTTATTTTTTGAGGGTAGATTTCTGACTCTCTGGAAATATGGAACACAATGAAGAATGCTGGGGAAACAGTGAGTAACAGGTAGGCTTGAAAGAGACTCTTATTAATCTGTATCCTACCCTCAGGACTTGAGACAGTGCCCTCCCCCTTAAAACGACAACAACAGTCAATAATTAATATCAGCTTTGCATATCTGGTCATCTGGGTCATAAATACTGATAGAGGATTTCTAGTAGGTTTTATTGATAAAATTAATCTCGACATCTAAAAATGACCAATATTGATACTGATACAAGCTTTTGCTTTTTTTTTTTTTTAACTCTTGTGTAACTACCGTTCTCTTCTAAATTTCTTCTTTTTTTTCCTCTCTCTTCTAAATTTCATAGTAAAATGTTAGTGAGAAATCCTGGGGAGCAGACTGAGGAACTATGCACACATATGTAATCGTATAGAGACATACACATGGATATGGATATATGTATTATATCTGTATCCACATGCGAATAGGTGTCTTTTCACGTATTACACAATATTAAGGGAATTGCCAGGTAGTTAGGATGTTAATAGGGTCATCACCTTCTCAGTGGATTAGTGGAATTTCATTATTTCTGGATTCCAACCAGTGAATGTATCCTGCCACAACCCTTCCTTGTGCCCATTACATAATTCAAGGCACAGAAAATGACTGGTCTGTCAGGTCATTCTTGCTATTCATTTTAAAGCTGGCCGACGTGTTAAAGTTGGGGCAATGGGTCTGGATTTGAGAGGCAGTTCAGTGTAGTGGGGAGGGCATAAAGGAACAGTCGGGAGACCCGGATTGAATCTCTGCTTTCAACTAGCTTTGTGACTTTGGCTTAGTCTCTCACCCTGTCTCTGCTTCTTCAGCCATAATGAAATATGATTGGATTAGGTCATCTTTAAGGGCCCTTCCTGGTCTATACCCTGTAATACTGTTCCTTGGTTCAAATATGGAAGATGCAGTTAACATGCTGTTTGTTGGGTTTTGAATACTCTTAAGGTGATGGTGTTAGGATTCTAATGGGAACTGTCTTTGCATAGCAGAAAAGACCAATGCTGTGATTACTTCTTTTGAAGTAGATATGTGCAAAACAGGCTTTTTAAAAAAAGTTGTCATGGTACGCATAAATTTGGCTCATTGGTGTTGGGTTATATGTGAAGGCATTCAAATTTGGTAAAACTTTGTTTCAAACTTAAGAAAGGCATTATTATTCTGCAGTTAAGCTCAATAGGCTGGAAAAGCTAGCATAAGGAAGAGATAATCTGGATAGGATTTTGGAACTGGAAGGGGCCTAAGAGGTCCTGGTATACCTTTAGCCCTTTTATGTCACTGATGAAGAAGAAACTGAGGCTCCGGAAGGAAGGAGATTTGTTCAAGTTCACAGTTGAGCTGGATCATGGCGCTGCTGGGTCACTGTTTCCCCACTTCAGGGCAGATTCCAGTGGTGCTGTCAGTTCCTCAAAGCTTCAGTTTTTTTGTAACTTGCACGAGGGGAGCTGAATCCCTTTCTGGATTCAATTTGAAGCATGCAGCTCTCATGCTAATGGCCCATCATGGTTTTTTGGAAAAATATTGCTTACTCTCAGTTCCCCTCACCTCACAGTGGAATGGATAATACATTTTGCAAGGCTTTATTTTTAATTTGATGCTTCGCCAAATGTATTTTTATTGGCTCTCCCAGCCAACAGTTTTTGGGGTCTTCAGATGGAATTCAGGAAATCCATGAACTTGGATTGGGAAGAAAAATGCATGTCTATTTTCACTATAGTCAGACTGAAATTTAGCATTTCACTCAATTAGGAATATAGGCAACAGATAGAATTGCTGCTAGATTTGCTACTTGCTGCATTAATACAGAACTGCATATATTATTGTGTCTTAACTTAAAACTGTCTTGATAACTAAGTATAATTATTTTCACTTGTAATCCTTTGAATTTTATTTTATGCATTTAAACCATTTTTCTGAGAAGGGCTCAGTAGGCTTTACCAGACTGACAAAGGGATCCTTGGCACAAAAATGGGTTAAAAACCTCTACAAAAGAATGCTTATGAATATGACTGAAAATGAAGTATTTTAGTGGAAACTGATCAAGGTCTTCAAAAGGTTGAAAAGTCAGGGATGGGTTGGGGGGACCTGCCCTTTTTCCTTTGGAGAGTGCAGCATTCTATCTGATAAGACAAAGGAGACTGTTGCTTGAAGAGTTTTTGGTCTTTATTTTTTTTAAACAAGCAGCTCCCGATTTCTACATGCTGTTTTTGTTTTAAGCTTGGCACTCTTTTTTAAAAATTTTTTTATTATGTTATGTTAGTCACCATACAGTGCATCATTAGTTTTTGATGTAGTGTTCCGTGATTCATTGTTTGCGTATAACACCCAGTGCTCCATGCAGTACGTGCCCTCCTTAATACCCATCACCAGGCTAACCCCCCACCCCTTTCCCCTCTAGAACCCTCAGTTTGTTTCCCCGGAGTCCATAGTCTAACCTTGGCGCTTTACCTTGACTACCCCTCCCCTTGGTAGTTATAAGAAACCTTAAAATATACCCTAATACTTTTCCTTTTCTTATCCTCCTTTCTAATTTGGGCCTGAAGACTTCAAACACTGGTATCCTTTATGGACTAAAAGGTCTTTGAACTTTTTTTTTCATACAGAAAACAAAATCTTTACTGT